ATTTTCCAAGAAAAATGAGAATTTTGAAAACGCGTTTAGTTCGTCTATTTTTCTAAATTTTTCACGGAAAATGAAAATTTTCCGTTTTCTAAAATTACAAAGAAGTTGGAAATTTTTAGAAAACTGATAATCATTGTTTTCCACATTTTTCTAATTCCAAAATTTTTCTATAAACACACACCCACTCTACCCCATCCACCTCTACCTACCCCCCACACACACCCACCCGTACACACACACACACACACCAACCCACAAACACACACACACATACATACCCACTCACACACACACACACACACCAACCCACACACACACATACATACATACCCACTCACCCACACCCACCCACAAACACACACACATACATACATACATAACCACACACACACCGACCCGTACCCACCCACAAACACACACACACACACACCCACCCGCACACACATACACATATATATCCACCCACACACACCCACCCACAAACACACACACACACATACACATACATACCCATCCACACACACACACCCACAAACACACACACCCACAAACACAAACACATACATACCCACCCCCACACACACACCAACCCACAAACACACACACATACCAACCCACCCATACACACACACACCAACCCACACATACCCACCCACACCCACCCACCCACAAACACACACACACATACATACATACCCCCACAAACACACACTCGCACCCCCACCCACCCAACACCATCACGACAATCACCGACCTACCATCACCACCACCACCACCACTAACCCGTCACTAGCACCACCACCACCGCTGCCGCCTGTCATCACCACCACTGACACAATTGCCACCGCCACCGCCACCACCATCGCCTGTCATCACCACCACCGCTGCCGACCGACTACCGTCACCGCCCGCACCCACACCTTACCACCGCTACCGTTTTTTAAAAATGAAAACCGATAGAAAAAACACATTTTCTAATTTTCTAAAACTGAAAATAAAAAATGAATAAGTTTAACTAAACGCGTTTTCTAAATTTTTCAATGAAAAATGAAAACGGAAAACGAAAATCGAAAAGGGAAAACAAAAAACGGAAAATGAAAAGTGTTTTTCCGTAACTAAACGCAACCTAATCCTTTCAATGTTTTTTGACTCATGGTGTTTTGGAGATACAATTTCAAAAGCTTCAATTTTGAAAAACTTCTTTCCGCGGAAGCAACTGTAACCGACACTGTCAACAATATCTTATAAGCAACCAACACATTAGGGAACATATACATTCTTCTTGCATACTCCATTATTTGAATAGATGTCCAAGGACTTTCACTTTTGTAAGCTTGACCCGACAACGTTTTTTGCAAAATTTGTAACTCAATGAATAAACCATCTCCATCAATATTATAATCTTCACTATTTTTCAAATTGGACTCACGATTTAAATAATATTTTTTTTAATTCATCATCATCTAAAGATACTAATTTGGAACCATAAAAAAAATCAAATATATATTCAAAATATTGCATTTGTTCAAATATACTTTTCAATTGAACAAGAGCCATATCTACAAAAATAATAAAATAATCTCTTTTAAATGCTTCTTGAGAAGATTGATGTTCTCTCACTACTAGAAAAAAGGCCTTTTACGACGCTCATTGCGCGTCGTAAAACGCTCAGACGACGCGCAAATGCGTGTCAAGGAAGGCCCTGTCATAAAGAGAGACAACGCGCTTTTGCGCGTCGTCTATAGACGACACGCATTTACGACGCGCATTTATAACGTGCATTTACGACGCGCGGTTACGACACGCAATGCGTATCAAGGAAGGCCCTATCATAAAGGAAAACGATACGCATTCGCGTGTCGTAACCTTACGACGCGCGTGTTAATGACACGCAATGCGTATCAAGAAAGCCTCTGTCAAGAAAGGCCATGTCATAAATGAAGATGACACGCATGTTTGCGTATCATAATTTTAAATGTTAAAAAAAAATTATTTTTTATAGATTTACTAATTTTCAAATTAAATTTGCATTTAATGCCTCACAATATAAAATAAAATATCATATACAAAAAATATAATCCATTTCATAAAATTTAATGTCTTACAATTATATTTCTTACAATATATAAATTTACATGTAAAAACATCTCTACAGTCTACATGTTTCATGCTTGATTTCCATCTTTTATCGTTTTTAAAAACAAAAGTTCTAACAAGAAACCTTCTTTTAGTAATGCAAGTGATGCTCTTGATAAGCTGATATTCTTAAGTGTAACGGATCCCTCATTACTTGGAGATGCTGGTGAGCTTGAAATCCAAATTAAACCTGATCCAGAAAAAGGGACAATCACAATATCATAAGATTACTTACTTTTCTTCATTCTTGAATCTTTCCTCATAAAATACAACTCTACAAGAGATTTATAAACCTTTTTTTACCCTTATTGTAGAGACACTGGTATTCGAATGACCAAAGAAGAACTAATAGACTGCCTTGGAACCATTTCTCAAAGTGGTACTTTACCTTCTTTCATATAAATCATTAGCAAATATGTACTACATTACATTAATTGGTTAATTTTATAAAATGTTGAATCTTTTTGTTTAGGAGAACAAGGATCTTGGAAATGATAACAGTTTAATTGGTCAGTTGTTTTTTACACTCTCTGGCACTGCAGTAGAAAAGATGTATTTTTTTTTATACCAAGTGGCTCTCAGTCTCACTTTACAAATTTTCATGTTTTGGGAAAACAAAATACCTGAGTAGGACCCTTAAATATTGAGTCATCAACTGCAATTGAAGGTTTCTTGATGAAAGCCCTAATTTTATTAAAGAGGAAGAGGCGACTAATCCGTAAATGGAAGCCTTTGGATTAGCTAGTCATCCAGTTTCTCTGAAAAATAGAACACCACACTATTATTAATATTATATATTTTAGGTGCCAATACAAGTGAAAAAATTCTTGGCACATAGTGATGGGATGAAGGTTGTTGAATCTGCAAAGGTTTCATTCGAGGGTTCTCCAAATGGTTTAATTTTTAAAGAACTTGATCGGTATAAACTATAAACAGTTAAACACACCCATATTTCATCTTTTTTTTAATTATATAAACAAACTTTTTTTTTAAATTATACAGACCAAGTGGACAGCCTTGTATTGAAACCAAGGAGTTTAATCTTGTAAGAAACATGCTTATTACTGCTGTTGAAGAACGTTATAGAGATGTTGGTATTTTTTTCTTACTTTTTGTCTTAACCCATTAAGTCATTTCCTCCAGATCAAGTGCTTAACCCATTAAGTGTTGTTTTTCACACAGCACAATGGAGGGACAAGCTTACTCAATTCCGATCAAAGAAGAACCGGGCATAAAAGGTAGTGAATTCCTCTTTATTTATTTTGCAAACATATAATTAAAAAAAAAACATTTGAGTAACAATGTTCAACTATATATATATCATGTGATGCAGGAGGATCAAATCTGTAAATAATTGATCGAAGAAATGATATGAACTCACGTCTTTTCGTCCCCATGTGTAGCAACGTCCATCGACATATCAATATCCAATGCCACACAATGATTAGATGTTGCATAAAATGTTCAAGAACATTATAAACTTAGGGATTTTAACAGGGCAAATGTAGGTCTTCTTCAGGAGCTCTTTTCATCCATTCCTGTAATTTATTTACACATGTGCTATTATAAATAATTCTGATTACAAAGTCAAACACATGTAAAGAAAAGTCAAAAGTAATACCTAAATGGTGGAGCCAGTGATTTTTTCAACAGAAAATGCAGTTCCATACCATGGCTCTATTAGCTCAGTATGTCCATCAAAGTTTGTTGACTCCCAAATGTTTCTGGAACCAGAAGGGCATACTGAGAAATCATATAAATTTAGCCAGCACTAACAAACTCATTGATAGATGATACGCTACCTTACATTGTTTGGTGTGATCTCACTTAGTGCAGACTGAATAACTTCAGGGGGAAAAAGTGGAAGGTAAAGATGATCCAACTAGCCAATCTTTTGAAGGGTATAACTGCAATGTTGTTCAAAATCAAAATGATTATTCAAATAAGTAAAGCAAAAATATGATAAAAAGTGCAAATACCTGCATATTTGATGAAAATTTCACAACATAATCAATTAGAGGAATCTTGTCCTGATAATGGAAAGTCATCTCACAGATTGCAGAAAGCTATATGGATCATATAACAAAATAACATCATTTGATTTTATTTTTAAAAAAAAAGAGTATGAACATGATATGATAATATTTTCTAGTATTTTCAGGTACCTCATCATAGATCCACTTGCAAACACCATATCACTGCAAGAGTGTAATGTATTTGAAAAGGAGCCTAATTATATGTTCAGCATTTGCTGGTGTTTTCATGAAACATATATTACAAATGATGTCAGTATCTAAATAATCATGAAAGAAATGAACACACACACAGAGAGAAACAGAAGACTGGAAACACTAACCATGTCCAACATCAGTTAATTCAATAACCACTTTAAAGAAAGAGAACTCCACAGTCCAGTTTGATTCACCAGCAGACAAGCTTGTTGCCCAACCCAATTTCTTCAAGACATAGAAGAGGGATCCTTCTCCTTCATGACCAATTAAGTGTCCAAGATACCTACTTGGCCCTTCCATGTAATGATCAATGCCATGTGTCATTGGCCATGTGATTCTCAGCTTGTGACCACGTTTTACAGGAACAATTTTCACAATAACCTAATGAATAAATGCAACAAGACAATAAATGAAAGCAATTAAGCGTACAAATGAAAGCAATTATGCGTACCAAGATAATTATTCATAAATTTTGGGGCACGAAGAGGTCGACCCCTATGATTAGCAATAGAAATCTTCCACCTATCAAGAACAGTAACTGCAGCATGCTCCATGTGTTGCAACATCATACAAAGTCCTCCTTGTTTCTCTACAGACCCCAAACCACCACCCCAATTCAAAACCCTAGCCAAGTCACTCCCAAGTTCCAACAGGTAGAATGGCTATAGGAGGGGGTGAAACGTAACTTTGCTTCTCAATTGCATCCAATACCCACCCTGCTGTCCCATCTCCTCCACATACAAGAATTTTGGAATGAGCTACTCTTCTGAATAGATAAAGACCAACTTCTGGCCCTTCTGTTGAACTCAACTCAAATATCTACAAAAAGTTTCATCAAGATTTTAGAAATTTTGGTCAAAAGATAAATCAAGAACATATTTAGCTAAAATATCAACCTAATTTGACAAATTCATATGAATTGTTGAACAGATAAAGTGATTGATGCACCTTGGAGAACATATTTAGCTCTAACATCGAGAATATAAGTAGAAATTTTACCTGCAATGAGTAGCAAACTGTCATTCTCTTCAGTCGCAGCTCCTCCAGGAATGGATACGCTTTGGCGAGAACACTCAACCATGGATGAACATCAGCTCCCCAATCATCCGGTACTAAATTGAAATCTGAAAACCTCGGTTTCCCCTTCAAGGTTTTGGTTCGCTTCTTATTTAGATCCATACTTTGCTGGAAATTTTCAATTAATGATTCAACTCATTTCAATAAGATTCGAAGCTAAAATCTTCATATTTCAGAACTAGAATTCAACGAAATTCACTGCCGAGATTTCTCCAAAAACTTCAATCAATCGTGGAACTGATTTCGGTTCAAGACTAACCGACAAAAACTTCAATCAATCGTGGAGGCAGTTTTAGGAGTTTGACATTATGGGAGGTGGGAACGTATTCGCAGGGGAAGGTGGAGGGATAACAATCATTCCGAAGCTTGATCGGTACTGGGAGAGGGGATGCATCAGGTGCAAGATACGCACGCATCATGCATCAAGACCTAGGGCTTGTAAGTACAACAAAAAAATCATGAGAAACCTTCATCGTCGAAAAGAAATATTGTAGATGGAAGTATTGAAACCCACATCAGGAGCTGACGACTAAAGCTATTAATAGATAGTATTAACAGAGGGTGAGTCAGAAAATGACATCAACGGAGGTGAAGGGAACGCATAAAGAAACCCCTATGAGAGAGAAAGCAAGAGTCGATTTGAAGCAACCGACAAATGAAATTGAAAGGTAGAGGCGCTACACTCTTTTTTTTGTTCGTGTCACCACACATCTACATAGAGAAATCGAGAACCCCTACGGGTTTGATCAGTTCAAAAGACGGGATCAGAGATTTGGTGATATTACGATTTTGTTGTGGGAGAAAAGAGGATTGATGATGATATTAGGGTTTTTTTGTGTATTAGAGAGAGAGAGAGAGAGAGAGAGACTAAGAGAGAGAGAGAAAAAAAAGAACGATGGAAATAAGGTAGAGAAGAACAATGGCGGCCTTTCAAACTTTTGGGATTTTCGTTTCCCCCCGCTGCAAAAGAGGAGAAAGCGCCTTTCATTCAAAAAATATAAAGCGACATTTCTAAACGACGCCCATTTTTAAGTAAGTGCCCTCCGTGTTTTTAATTTTTTTTGTTGGACATTAATTCTAGGGCGCGTACAAAAGCGTATCGTTTATCCTTCAAATTTTAGAAGAGATGACATTATTTTAAGGGTACATGCTTTTGCGTATCGTAAATCACCGCGTGTCATTGTTTGCGCGTCATTAAAGGGTTTTTTTCTAGTAGTGTCTTTTGGTATTTGGAATTTCATCAAATTGTTTTTTCTTTTAGAATTGCGTTTTTGAGTAAATTCGGGTTTAACTTTAACACTATTTGCTATTTCTTTTGCTTCACTAATAACAAAGTCAAACCCATTTTCCCTATATCCTTCAAAATAATTAATTAATCCCTCTAAATTTTTTACAGCAACATCAAGAAGCATTTCTTTGGATTGTAACTTTTTACTTACCAAATTAATTTTGTACAAAATTTCATACCATATAACTAAGCTTAAAATGAATTCAAAACTAGAAAATTCACCATTTACTAGTGAATCAGCATCTCTACACACTTGTCTATTATCACTTATATTAGATAATTTTTTAAAACTTTTCTTATTTGAGAAATTGTGTTTTTATTGCTTTAACACATTAAATATGATTTTCCCAACGAGTAGCTGATAATGATTTAAGTGTTAGATCATCTATAAACTCAAGTAAAATACTTCATCTTTTTGTTGAATTAGAAAAAAACATTATAAATTGTTTGACATGTACCAAAAAAGTTTTTGCTTTTTGGCAAGAATTTGTCATATCACACAGAACTAAATTTAAACTATAACATCTACAAGGCATATAAAAAGCTCTATTATTTACATCAAACAACCGTTTTTGAACACCTTGGTGTTTACCTTTCATATTCGCCCCATTATTATACCCTTGACCACGAACATAATTAATATCCAAATCAAGAGATTTTAGGGCATCTTGTATAACATTAAAAAGACCTAGACTGGATGTATCTTCTACAACTAAAAATTGTAAAAAAAAAAAAGTCTTCTACTTTTAACGGAACACTTTCCAAATCTACACATCTTATAATCAAAGTCATTTGTTCTTGGTGACTTGTATCTAGAGTGCAATCAAGAATAATAGAAAAATATTTTTCATTTTTGATTTTTTTAATAATTGCACTTTTTTACTTCGGATGCTAACATTTCAATTAATTCATTTTGAATTTTATGACTAAGATAATGATTATGTGTTTCTTTGTCTTTAATCATTCGAAAATGTTATTTCATTACTGGATCCCACTCCGCAATCGATTCAATTACACTTAAAAAATTGCCATTTGAGTTTTCATAAATTTTTTCATTTGTACCATGAAAAGCCAAGTTATTTTTTGCTAAACATTTTACAATAGAAATAATTATAACTATAACTTCTTTCCAATGTTCGGCATCTTTTTTTTTATTTTATAATTTCTTGAATTTCTTTGTCAATTGTTTCGTTTTTGTAACACCCACAGTTTGGAAAGCCAAGAAAAGAAAGAAAACCCCAATTTTAAGGGGAGACTCGGCGAGTCTGAGCGGGATCCGGGTTGAGGAGTAAGCGACCGACTCGGCGAGTCGGCCAAGGTGACTCGGCGAGTCTGGTCTGAGCGAGGAAAACTCTAAATCCGGGACTTTGAGCCTATTTAAAAGTCTCATTCTCTCCCCTAGGGTTCCTTTACTGCCTCTTTAACACAGAACACTAAACCCTAGCCGTCATAATCGTTTTTGGAGCAAGATCTACCCTTGGTGAAGCTTTTTGGAGCTTGAGAAAGAAGATAGTCATAGTGGAGCAAGAAGGGGGCCTCGGATCCAGAGTTGGTGGAGCATTTCTAAGCATTTAAAGGTAATAAATCGTTACCTTCCCTCTTTTGTTTAATAGATTAACCTTGGCTATGAGATTTGGGGCTTTTATGCCATGCTTAAGAACTATTTCGAGTTAGAAGCCCAGGTCTGAAGTTGCTACTTCAGATCTGAGTGTATCTTGGCCTAGAAAGTCATAAAGCATTTGTTCTTGGGTTGATAGTAAAGCCTCCTTGTCTTAAACCCTAGTTTGGATTGTTTTAAGCCTAGATCTCTTTATCTACACGTAAAGTTTGCCACTTTACGTGAGGGATAGGCCTCAGAAGTATGGATCTATGAGTTGGAAGCCCTGTTTGGCTCGAAAAGCCACTGCATGGATTAAGGACTGAATAGACTCGGCGAGTCCTTTGAGTGGACTCAGCGAGTAGTATGAAGATGGAAGCGAACTCGACGAGTTGGATGAACAACTCGACGAGTCTGTTGAAGATTTCCTTGGACTCAGCGAGTCTGTTCTTGGACTCGGCGAGTCAAGTTGCGAAACCCCAAACCCTTCGAGTCAAGGCTCAGATTAGTGAGTTGAGTGGGGACTCAGTGAGTTGGACAGGATAGAACTCGGATATCAGTGAACTCGGCGAGTCAGTAGGCTGACTCGGCGAGTAGGGTCAACATGGAAGGTTGACTTTGGCCAGCACTTTGACTTGGATCAGATTTGAGTTAGTTGACTTTTAGAGGACTGTCAGGCTAAGTGTCGCTTTGTTATTGGTAGCTCGGAGAGTTAGAGGAGCAGCGTTTCAGATGGTGGTTGGTTAGCAGTCCGAGGGTTATCAGTAGAATTCAGCAGTTCAGGTGAGTTTCCTTCCAGTAGGAACGGGTCTAAGGCCACAATGTTGGCCCGTTCAGTTAGCAGTAGCTTTCGGACTTCGGTCCGAGGCAGTAGTCAGTATGTTTGATGCCTTCGTGGCTCAGACATGATTTATGTGTTATGTGTTATGTGTTCCGGGCTACGGCCCGATGCAGTATGCAGTATATGCCCGAAGCAGTATGCAGTATATGTGTTCATGCTAGTTGATATGTTATGCTATGCTATGTTCAGTCAGTTTCCGGACTTCGGTCTGATGTAGGGGACAAGGTCCCAGTCAGTTTCCGGGCTTCGGTCCGATGCAAGGGGCAAGGCCCAGTTAGTCTGGACTTCGGTCCGATGCAGGGGACAAGGTCCCAGTCAGTTTCCGGGCTTCGGTCCGATGCAGTGGGCAAGGCCCCAGTTAGTCCGGACCTCGGTCCGCTGCAGTGGGCAAGGCCCAGTATGTGCTTTATGTATTATTGTATGGTATGTGGTAGTTTGGGGGAGCTCACTAAGCTTCGTGCTTACAGTTTCAGTTTTTGGTTTCAGGTACTCAGTTTTCAAAAGAGGAGCTCGAAGAGGTTGCAGTGCACACACCATAATCAGCTAGCCTGGGATGTTTTACTCTGATAATAAGTTTGTATTTCGAATTAATGCTATGAAATTATGTTATGACTTATGATACGGTTTTTATAAATATGGTTTTGGTAACGTTTTAAAAAGAAAATTTTAGTTGTGATATTAGGGACGCTACAGTTTTTATTTAACCTAATTCGTGTTTCAGTCCATATTCTTAAATTAATCATATGGTTAGAACTATTTTCATGTTTTTTTAATGTTTCACTAAGATGCTTCCAATCTTTAATTCCTTCGGTTGCCAAATTACTTTTAGTTCGAATTGTTTTAAAAAGCTTACAACAAAAACAAAAAAATCTTATCAAGCTCTTTTGAATACACAAACTATTTTCTATCATAAAAATCACCATTTTTAATTTACAAGTAAAAAAAATCACATGAAAAATGTCCACCAAATGAATCTTTTGGAAAAATCGTATTGGCATCAATTTCTCTCTTAGGTCATTTTTCTATTAGTAAATCTTTCATTTTTTAATCTAAATCACCCCATACTTTAGGATCAAAAATATTAAAGTCACTTGGTTTACCTTTATCAACAAAATCATTGTTTTCAAAATCATTAGGAATTTCAACCGAATCATTGTTTGCAAAATCATTAGGAATTTCAACCGAATCATTGGAAGCACTAGGTGGGTTATTAATTGGATCATTAGAATTATTTTTATTACCATTTTGATTCGTAACTAAAAATTTATTCAAAGACCCTCTTAATTGATTAGCCTCTTCTTGTTCTTTTTTCTTTCATTTTCTATTTTGAGCACATGATGGTTGCTTTCGGAGAAGCATATTAAAAACTCAACAAA